TATGTTTACATGCGCAGAATTCTTTGACCGGATTGAAATGTGTTCTGTTTGAATAATTCAAATGTATCGTTTACATGGGCACAATCCGTTCACGATGTGCGTTTACATGCAACGGGCTTTGATTCTGAACAGAAGTACTGACATGCGCAGAGTGGTAAACTCTCCTTAAAAAACCACCGAAGAAGAAGTTACTTCCGTGTAAACCATAGAAGAAGAAGTTCTCTTTCCGGGACGAACGTAAACACACTTGAGCGACAAAAATGGACCCGCGACAGGTTTTAATGACTGTGATGGAGTTGTTACTGCACTCCCTGCTTGAGCTACAGGCGAAGCAACGCATGCTTTTAGTCTTTTTTCTTCGTAGGATGAGAGCGCGGAAGGAAAAATACATCCGAGAAAGTTCTTTGCTGCCGGCAAGTTTAATGCTGCTGCCACTACCTCCACAAATGACCAGAAACCAGTGGATGAAAGTCCGAAGTAAAGACTGGTGGGAGCGTGTGGTCCTCACGCAGTTCACCGACCAGGAGTGGAAGCAGAATTTTCGCATGACACGTCTGTCTTTCACGAAGTTGTGCACTTTGATGGAGAGTCATTTAGCCCCAGAAGAGGTGACTGTTAGAACTCCAATTCCGCTCATGATGCGAGTTGCAGTTGTTCTGTATAAACTGGGCAGCTGTGCCGAATATCGAGTCATTGCAAATCAATTTGGAATAAGTAAGAGCAGTGTTAAAAATTGTGTGTACATGTTTTGTAAAAGCATGGTGAGAGGGCCAATTAAACAGCTGATCCGAGCACCAACTGACATGGAGGCACTGGAGATCGCCAGAGCTTTTGAGGCTTCCCATCACATCCCTCATATTATGGGTCTCATCGATGGATCACACATCCCGGTTCTTCCCCCCTCTGATGGATATAAAGACTTTGTTAACCGTAAAGGCTGGCCATCCTATGTCCTCCAAGCTGTTGTGGACAACAACTGCTGGTAAGACAAATACACGCTGTATGCTTAAATAAACTTGTTTTTCTTTCTTTTTCTACCTGTCTATGCTTGATACTGTCTGTATTTATTATTAATTACTGTTTTTCCTCTGTTTTTCTCAGTTTCTGGAGCATCAGTTGCAAGATGCCAGGCAGTGCCCATGATGCCAATGTCCTGCGCCACTCTGACCTCTATCAAAGGGCTCATCTAATGCCAAAAGTAAGGCTAATATTTACTATATTGTATTTATTATTACTACAACTATAAACTATGAAGTAGAGATACTTAGTTGTAAAATTATTTTTTTAAATGTTTGTTAGAAGCATGCCTTTAAACAAATGGTTAAATGTTGCCAATATTTGCTATATTGTATTTAGTATTACTACAACTATTACAGCTAAGGTTCTCAAAGTAGAGATACATAGCTGTAAAGTTTTATTTTTTTTTTAAAGTTTGTTTGAACCATGCCTTTAAACAATGTCTAAGTAAAATACTAAATATTAGTATGTCCTTTTTTTGCAGTCTGTGAGGAACATTGAAGGAAAGGACGTCAGTCTCCTCGTCGTTGGTGACCCTGCATACCCACTGTTGGACTGGCTCATCAAAGGATACCCAAACTCTCCTCGTCTGACTCCTCAACAAGAGTCATTTAATGTTTACCTTAGCTCAGTCAGGGTGGGCGTAGAGATGACCTTCGGGTTGCTGAAGTCACGGTGGAGAGTTCTTCTAAAAAGAAGTGACTTTCATTTCACCTTTGCTCCAAAAATGATCGCCACCTGTTGTGCACTCCACAACTTCTGCCAGAGGGAGAGGGATTATGGCAACAGCAACTGGTTGGAAGAGGCACGTGACCGTGCAAACAACTACCCTCAGCCTAACCAGCCAGCGAATCTTCAGTGTAGTGTTGGTGGAAACGGTGCAAGAGAGGCACTGACTGCATATATGTCCAAGTTTCCACTCCGTACAGGCCATCTGCATTAAAGGGGCTTTTTAAATATACAATATATACTTGTCATGTATGTGTTCAGATGCAGCTAACATTTGTATAAAGATATTATAACAAAACGGCAAATAATACTAGTGTACATCGGAGCTCTTTAATGGACCAAACATTTTAATAAATTCTTGTAAACATTTTATATTGCTTGTTGGCACTGTGTGAAACGTGTTTCATTCTCAGTGCAATTTGAGGTAGCCTACATCACAAAAACATAAAAATTATACATTCAAAAAGTTTGTGCAAAACAGACAATGTGCACAGATCATCACATCTTGTAATGAAAACAGAAAAAAACATTCTTTGGTCATTTAAAACTACAGTAACGTGCAATTCAACAGTAACTTCTTTATCAACTCATCCTGTACTTTCAGAATTACAATATCAAAAAATATCTATCTATCTATCTATCTATCTATCTATCTATCTATCTATCTATCTATCTATCTATCTATCTATCTATCTATCTATCTATCTATCTATATATCTATCTATATATATATATATAATATGAAACCTTAGCTGCTGCTCAAATAAACTTTTTTTTAACTTTAGCTTTGGTCATGGAGGTGGTAATCCGAGTTGTAGCTTGGGTTCTGAGGAAATTGAGCAGACCGGCTTTGACCTGGGTATTGATGCTGAGGGTAGGGAGGAACTGGAGATCTTCCCTGTGGAGGTGGGGTCATTTGAGTCATGATGGACTTTAATCCATCAAAACATTGCCTCACTACGCGCTCAGTTGAGAGTGTGTTTTCTTCTAAGAACCTTACAAACAACCTTTCTTCTCTTTGCTGCCATCGTTCCTGTTGTTCTTCTATCCATTTGTTCTGGGACTCTTGCATCTTCTGGTAGAAGGATTGCTGTTCGGTGGCCCAAGTCTGCATGGCCCTTGCATAACCAGAGTTCCCTCGTGGTCCTGCAATGATGTAAAACACTATTACTTGCTTGGATGCAGTACTAACATAATCTCTCTAAACACTGTATAAACATTTGTTACTGTTTTTGTCATCTGGAACACACAACTTACTCTTCCTTGATGTCCTCGTCTGTTGAAAGTTTCTTGGACCACTGTCTTCTGCCACTGTTGTTTGTTGTGTGCTGCTGCCAGCTGCTTCATCAAAGCTGGACTCATCATCTGAAAAAGAAAAAAATAAAGTCTAACTGGTCCCCTGGTATGTTGAAATTTGTTAGGTTAATTATCTGGTTAGTTGGGGTAGTGTTATGATCCACAATATAGGTCTCATGTTCTCTACTGTGTACAATCCTTGGAGGTATAATTATGCTAGCCCTAAAGCTACTCTTGTTTCTTATTATAATTACATTTTAACATATTTGTTGTATCCCAATTACACCAAGTAATACAGTACAGAGGGTTAATGTGGCTTGAAGAGTATCTTACCGGAAAGGATGCTTTGTTCCGGATTTGCATCGGGGCTGTAGTCCTCAGATTCCTCCTCATAACCTTGGTCCACACCGCTGCCTGTCGTGTTGGCCAGTGGCCGCTCTCTCATCAGTTCGTCCATCAACATGTAAAATGAAAAAGTGGTGGGGTCAGAGCCACTTCTCCCGTTCTTGTTTTTAGCTTGGTAGTACTTAACTTTCAAGCTCTTCCAGCGATTTTTTATTTGCTCAATTGTTCGATGGATTCCGGCTTCTTCCAGTTTTTCATGCACTTGTTTAAATAACTCCGTGTTCCTACACTTTCGACCGTCAAGGCGTTCGATAATTTTGAGTTCTTTTAACGTTTCGATTAGAAATGTTGTATCGCTCACCGACCAGTTCTGCTTCCCCGCCATGTTAGCATCTACACATTAGCCAGGCGGAAAAGGAAACGCGTAGAGGTACGCGTCGCACATGCGCAGTCAGGTCATTTTTTCACCATCAGATAAAAACGAACAGATCAAGTGTTTACATGCGCACAGATTGGGCTACGGATCGGCGTAAACCACCCGTTTCGATCTGATCACAAATTATAACGGATCGCGCCGAATACACAAAAAATAACCCGAACGGAGCATTTACATGACACACTTTTGTTCCGACCGGCCATCTGATCCGGTTACTTTTGTCCATGTAAACATACCCACAGTTCCAGGAACTCGTCTTAAGCGCAGAGGTGACAGGGCCTTCTCTGTAGCAGGACCAAGACTCTGGAACGAGTTACCTCTGCTTGTCAGACAGGCCCCCTCCCTCTCGGTTTTCAAGTCCCGTTTAAAAATTCACTACTATTCAGTAGCTTTTAACACCAGATGATCTGTGTTTTGATCCTGTATGCTCTACACTAGTTTGTCGTCATTATCTGCATCATTTTTATGTCTTTATTCTGATTTACCTCATTTTGTATTTTGCTTTGTGTGTTACCTGTTGTTCTGTCTGTACAGCACTTTGGTTGGCCTTGTCGCTGTTTTAAGTGCTCTATAAATAAAGTGGTATGGTATGGTATATAAAGGTTTAATAAAACCAAACCAAGAACTGAACTTTGAGGTACACCACAAATAATTCCCACATGTTTGATTTGTGATACCTAACAAAAAACGTGTTAACAGAAGCAATCAGAAACCCTTAATGTGACTTTATCTGCTCACACTGTCAGTTGATTTAAAATAAATGTTATTTGTAGAGTTGACTCGAGTCATTGAATGTTTGTCTCTTGAAGCAGATGAGTTGTTGCAGATTTGAAATTGTGATCCATTTCTGTTTGATTGTTTTTACTGTGTTTTTGTTCTTCAGGCTCAAAGTCGGCAGTGCATTGTTTGTTTTGTAAGGCTGACCTGAGCGACATGGACAAAGTGCAGGAGCACAACTGCAGTCAACACGCCAGCCAGAGTAGCAAGGCATTTAGCTGCCCTCTCTGCTCTCTCATCTGCACCTCCCAGCTGGAGCTGCAGGAGCACCTGCTGTCCTGTCACATGGAGGCACAGCAAGAGCAGGAGAATGGCAGGGAGGAGCAGGCCTCCACCTCATTCCAGGTAATGCCAACTTCTAAAGATCTTCATTCAGATTTCACAGGGATTATTGCACTGGGTGCTATCCCTACAGTGAGTTGCACAATGATTTATCTGTTTTGTCTTCTTCTTTCTTCTGACAAACACCTGCTAAAATGAAATTTACTCTCGGTGGCTGTGTAGTCAGTTAATGTAAACACAAAGGTTATTTAAAATGGTCAGACTGAACAGGATTTTGAGGATGTATTAACAAGTACTAACTCTCTATGCCATAAGTCAGAACCAGGTTGAGTGTGATGATGCGAATGAGTAGATGTGTGGACGTTTTGGATAAAACCAATTGGCTCTATTAAATTATTAAAGGCTATGCTTAAACTATCACTTTCAACATCTACATGAATATTGAAATCGCCCATTATTATGATTCAAGGATTCAATGTTTTTTATTTGTCATTCGCACCCCATGTGGTACATGTGGTGGAATGAAATTATATACACAGGGTCCCAGTTGCATCTAACAATAAAATGTAAAAGAAAAACAGTAATAAGATCTAAGACATGAACTAAGAAAAACGTCAACTAAATATACACTAAGCACTAATAGCATAAAAACATTACACTGAACAGCAGCACGAACATGAGTCTGTGTGCGCAGATGAAACAGATCAGCAGCAACATGATGTGATTTTTCACAGTGATTATCCTTGTTAGATATTCATGAGTCTAACAGCCTCAGGGTAGAAGCTGTTCCTCAGTCTAGTGGTTCTACACTTAATGCTCCTCAACCTCCTTCCTAAGGGGAGCAGGGCAAAAATTGTGTGTGCTGGGTGAGTGGGGTCCTTCATGAATATTAGTATTTAATAATAAGTCAAATTTAAAAAAAATCAGATAATTCAGACAAAAACTGAAAATAAGGGCCTGGTGGACGATTTATAAAAAGTAGTAAAAGAGGCTTCTGATTTCCATTTAGGATGCGAAAGACGAGGGTGAGACTTTGGGTGTGGTGCAAGGATCGTAGGTAGTTAACAGTCTGGGTGAATCATCTCAACACAGCCTTGAACTAGACTGTCCTAAAAAATCAGCTACAGGTAATACCTGAGTCTCAGGATTAGTTTTAGACCCCTTGGAGGAGAAAGGCTGCAGTGAGGGCATGGCACGTGTCCTGTGTCTACCTCACTCGGGTAAGCAAAACACTACGTAGCCCACATTGTTATCAGAACACCACCTGGACAGCCAGCGATTAAACGACTACATATGGCTAAACATGCTTGCTTTTTGTTTTTGCTGGTCCGGTTGTGAAGGGAACCAAAGAAAACTATGCAGTCCAACATGGTTTTAGCAAAGTTACACACAGAAGCAACATTAATTTTAGTGACTTCCGATTGGTGTAACCGGGTTGTCATTACCACTGATGTGAATAACAATCTAACTGTATATATCCTTAGCCTTAGTCAGCAGTTTCAGATGAGATTCAGTGTTGTCTGTTCTGGCCCCCGGAATTCATTTAACTATGGCCGCTGGAGTCCGTAAAATTAAGTCAAGTCAACTTTATTTATAAAGCACATTTAAAACAGGCGCTGTTACCAAAGTGCTTAACACTAAAATCAATGAGAGTAAAATCACTTCACCACTTGCGCTTGCCGAGATCGGACGCTTCTCCCTTCCCCTCCCTCTCCACTTTGCTTTGCTGCTCTGCCGGTCTGTGAAACTGCTTGTGAGCCTCTCTTGCATATCTTCCAAACCTTAATTATGGACTTGTTTTGATCAGTTGGTCCCTCAACACAATTGATAACATTTCTTCGAAGAGAAGACAGGCTTTAGGCGAGCCGATTTGCCCTGTTGGCATGCACGCAGCTGGATATCTCATCGACAAAGACTTGATGATGTGTATATCTCTGCTGCCATCTGTGGATTTTAAGGACGCATGTTTAATTGGATTTACGATAACGGGTTCTTGCTTTTTTGGATTCGGCTGGTTGTTGGTTTTATCTACAATCAAGGAAGTCGTCGGCAGCAAATTTGGACCCGATCACGCTGCTTGCCTTTATGATGGCTTGGTTCGTGCTTCGATTACCCAGAATCAAATTACTTTGGGCAGAGTGAACCAGATCTCGGGGATTTTGTTCAGACACGTTCCATCGGTGTGGCCATGTAATTTGGACATTTCGGAACCGAGTGGACCAACACAGACTCAATGTAGATGTCATTAAGTTCTGCCTGTCCCCAAAACAACTGTGTGTTTATCTGAATTTGGCTCCCTTGGCTGGCCTTGAAGGCCATCTTATCTGAATTCGCCTGGAGAACAAGTGATCTGACGCTCACCACCCCCTCCCTGAGGAAATTCCAACTGATAACCAGATGAAACCAGCTGAATAAACATTGTGTCATCATTTCAGGACTCTTGGATTCTCATAGTCGTTATTCTTGGCCATTCCTCGACATATCTCGAGAATGTTTACAAATCTCACTGGAGGAATCTGGCTGATTATTCCATCCTTATCAGAACTCTTACAGTGCCCTCAAGAGCATCTCTGGACATGCTCACGGCTCTCGTCGTCTCCCCCCTCTGCAGAATGTCTACGTCACTATGTGCTTGTTTGTGCAAGGTGTTTTTCAATATCAGAGTTGGTTTTTTTTTTTCTCAGCCAGGAAAAAAAAAGTCTGATAGAAATTTTTTCGCCTCCAATTCATACATGTTTCCATTTTCACTACTTTTTGTCTGGCTAAACAGATCTCACTTGTAAATGAGTCTTCTAGGCTCAATATGACTTATCTGTCTAAATAAAGGTCAAATGAATGAATGAGAGTAAATTAATGGAAAAAATAAAACTAATTAGTAATACTGATAATTTAATTCAAAGCAATAAAGAAAAAACATAAAAGCAAAGAACAAAAAATACTAAATCAACTCACACTGTGTAAAATGCCAGAGAAAACAGATGTGTTTTTAGCAGGGAAGTAGCTTGTCTAATGTTGGAGAGCAGGTTGTTCCAAAGTTTAGGGCCCATGACTGAAAATGCCTGATCACCTTGGAGCATCTGAGCATCATCTCATTCTTATTTTTGGAACAGCCGAAAATAGTTGGTCAGATGAGCTCAGGGTCCGACAGTGAACATATGGTTCCAGTAGCTCAGAGATAAGGGGGTACGAGGCCATTTAGGCACTTTTAAAGGTGAGCATGAGAATTTTAAAATCAATTCTAGTACGTACAGGGAGCCAGTGAAGGGAGGACAGAACTGGTGTAATATCAAACCCATGAGTTCCAGTTAAGAGGCGAGCGGCACCATTGTGGATGAGCTGGACATGCGAAATGGAGATCAGAGTGACCCCAACATACAGTGCGTTACAGTAGTCCAGTCGGGTAGGGATAAAGGCATGGATTAGGTTTTCAAGGTCAGATCTGGGAAGCACTGGCTTAAGCTTTGGCATCTGCCTTAACTGGAAGAAGCTTTTCTGCAGAACAGAGTTTGTTTATCAAAAGCCACATTAATGCCACATTTCAGACTATGGAGCTGCCAGTAACCAGGGTCTGCTTCTCAGCACGTGTGTCACTGTGCGAGGAAAATCTATTAGAAACATGAATGGGTCGGTGGTGAACTGAGGGCTTAGCCTTAG